TTTATGATAAAATTCAGTTTTTAGGACATTTAACAAAACAATAAAATAAAATTGTCAGGGCACTACTGGCTGGCGTTAATTTATAGATGCCATTGAAATGTGCCTCCCTTTGTGTTGCCATTATGCAATTTTATGACTGTCATCACAAGTAATCTATTGTAAATTAAATTGGATACTGCTAATTTAGGTACACCTTTCTCATTGCAGACTGACGCAAAGCTAGTTTTAAACCGTTTTAATTTAGGTAACCTATTTTGCGTAGAAGCACTACTCAAAACTATGGTTTTTTGAAGTCAATTTTAGTTTATTAATTCACGACAAAAATGACAATGTATGCAAAATTAGTGCCATTATTAATGATTACATAAAGTTTCAAAGTATGTTACTATTTTAGCATGCAATGAAATGGGTGATGACAAAAAAAAGTGAGTCAGGAAATGAGCTAGAAACCATGCATTGTTCGATCAGTGGTAAAATCAAAGCTGTAAAAACGATTGCTGAACTGCCGTACAGCGAAAGGTTTTTGATATTTTTCTAAATAGTAGTTTTGTCTAGATTGACAATTTGGACTGGTCCATTTGAAACAAGCTCATCTGTGACGTTGTTTAATTGTTCTTGGTACGGTGCACTGTGAACAATAGACTGTGATGGCGTGCACTAAAAAAGAGTGAATTTTGTGCATTTAATTCGATTACGCACTAATCGAGTAATGCACACTAATTAGTAATTATGTAATCAAAAAGGTACTTTTTGGCAGTTGAAAGGTATGAAGGACTACAGTGAAACCTTTATCGCTGGACAAGGACGTGACCGAAAGCACTCGCATGGCTCTTCCGTACTTGCACTGCCTTCCTTCCTGGACTGCACTGCCAACTACTGATCAACGAGCACCTGACTAGTGCCAGTCGAGGGTGCTGTTGTTTTGCTGGACGACGGCAGTGTGATGAGTGATATTTGCTGTTCTTTCAAGTGTGACTCAGAGTCAAGCAAATCGGAGTGCCTTTTGGGCAGGCTGTGCTCATCGAGTGATGGGCAAGCTATCGTCGGTGCTGTCCCGTTGTCCGAATTGTCTCCGCTGGACAGTGATTTCCTACCAAGCTGTGTAGCGATCAAGCCAATGATCGCCATGACGTGTTGAACTATTTGTGCTGCTGCTTGACTTCGACCACCGAGAACTCCGCTGAGAAGTGCAGCCACAGCAATCATCGAGATGGCCCATTCGGGTAGCTGTTTAACTGTTTCGACTGAACAAATGCATACGCTGTTAGTATTTTTCACGCTATTCAGTATCTATTACTTTCTAGTGTGACGCACTTTCCATTAGCTCTTAAGCCATAGCGACATTGACATCGGCCAAACATGCAGACAGTGTTGGGAAAGCGATCCAGGCACTCATTGCTTGTCAGGCACTGAATCACTTCGCCTAGAACAATGAGAATCAATCTGATATGAACTTGGTGATCAACATTCACTTACATCTACTGTTGTCCTGCATTGAGCCGATGTCACACTCACACCGTTTTGTCAGTGGGTTGCAGATTGAATGCTTCAACAGACAGTCATCGTGGTTGGAACAGCTGACATTCAACATTGAACCTACAAAATATGATGTTGGTGGTTTTTGAGTGAATGTAGACAGTTACCAGGAAATGCTTTAGAAAGCAAATCAAAGGCATACCATAGGCAAGTTTTAATTGACTGTCACTCACGGCAGTTCGAAAAGTTTCTTCATCTTCATTTTCTTTTAATGACACTGTCTTGAGAAACACAAACAGCAGAAGTAGTGATAATAAACTCAGTTTTTGATGCATTTTGTTGTTAGGACGGTTAAACTTTGTCTACTCACAACATGCCGTTTACTAATCAGCCAATTTGAACTAGTTATCACTTTTATATAGAGCAGACTGAGTGTGAACACCATCAACAGCCATAAAGTGGTCAATCTGTGTTGATCAGTGTTTGCCATGGCCATTGCTGTACTGCCCAAATGATTTTACGTTTGTTCAACATTTCCGCTGATCTTTACAATGTTCAGTTGCGTATGGGTTGCGTAGAAAATTATTTTTGCTTGCTGAGGTGTCTTTCAGAGGACTACTGCAGTGAGTAGCACTTCTACTAGAGATGGTCACAATTTGACCATCCTTTGCTAACTTTAAAGCCGATGATCGTTAATTTTAGCGAGACTTTTTTACTTTATGCACCACACTTGTGATGACCTACATTGATTCGAGACAATGTCACTATTTTGACACTGGTGACAATATAAAAACAACCAATGTCATTTTTGCACAGTAAATCCTTCACAGCATCCTTTTTTATCAATATTTTTCATTTAAATTCAATTGCATTTTATAAGTACCTAAATTAGTATTGTAAAAATTAAATTATCCGTAATCTAAATGTGAATAATCAATCAATAAATGTAAAAAGTTTTTATGTTGTTATCTGTCAAATGAATAACAAACTAAATTGTCTTTTTTCTAAAATAACCAATTTTTCAAACTTCAGTTTACAAAAATCTTTTTCCCATAACAACTTGAGTCAGTTGTCCTAGTTAGCAGACTAAGCGGTGTCTGGCTGCAATTAAAACTGTGCTGCAATGAACACGCAGAACATGAGTTAAAATGAAAGCAAGACAGACATTGATTTATTTAAAAAGTTCTCCCCATTTGACGCTTAAAGAATGCTAGAAGTTGCTTAAGCTGCCAACTTGGCAGACGATCAAAATGTGGCTGCTTGTAGATGAGGCACTTTTTTCAGTTAACAATCACAGCAATTTCTCGCTACTGTACAGTAATTGTTCATTTTCAATCCTTCAAGCCTGCATCAACATGCACTGTTTTAATAAGTGTCTTTCTTTTGGGTGACAGCAATGTTATATATTTTACAATTTGCTTCTGTTTAGCTGGTAGAAGCAGCCACTTGTTGGTCTCTCCCATTTGTAATGTGAGCTGCTCGACAAACCTGCCATGATCGTTTCTGGCTGCTTGCACTGAGGAATATTCGCAGAAGGAGAACACTTTTTCAGAGGTTTATTTGGTACCAAACAAAGCCGAATATACAAGTTTTTCTGCTTACAGACCAATTCAACTTTTATTTGTTTTTGCCTATTTACCATTTTGTCTATATATTACCTTCAAAAAATTGTTTGTTTACACAACTTAAACATTAGAATCTAAATTGTTTTTAGACATGACAAAAATTAATCATAAAGAAAATAAGTTTTCAGAATCTAAAATTTGCTTTCATCATCTTTTACATTTCAACATTTTTTCCAAGTGTTTAGAGACGTCTGAGTGATAAAACAATTGTTGTGTGGTCATCTTTTAAAAGTGCCTTATTGGGCAAACTGCACAAAGAAAGTGCAAGATTGTTGCGACAAATAAGAGTGTTTAATTCTCTCAACAATGACCACCTACGCCTCTCCTCGATTGACCAGATCTGCNCAGAATCTAAAATTTGCTTTCATCATCTTTTACATTTCAACATTTTTTCCAAGTGTCTAGAGACGCCTGAGTGATAAAACAATTGTTGTGTAGTCATCTTTTAAAAGTGCCTTATTGGGCAATCTGCACAAAGAAAGTGCAAGATTGTTGCGACAAATAAGAGTGCTTGATTCTCTCAACAATGACCACCTACGCCTCTCCTCGATTGACCAGATCTGCCCTTGTAGTTATAATTAGTTTGCTTTTCCTTGCTGGTTGTTACATGTTTGCAACTGGAATTTTTCACGCTATCAACATCATCAGTGAGAGTGGTCGTGCAGAAGCAGTTATCAAAACTGTCTATAGTTCTTCTTCAGTAGACAGTGTCAACAACGTGGCTCCAGCCGAGGTGATTGATGATCAACCCCGTTTCCCCAGCACTTCCGCTCCCAGTGTAGAGTTGATCTTTGGAGGACTCACCCTTGGTCATGCCATTTTCGGCATAGTTTCCGTCACCCAAGAACGAGCTAATTTTTTGGCAACGTACAGTCATCTTCTGCTGATCAGTTTCTTTCTCAAAATGCTCTTCTTAATCGGTAAGTGGTAGTAGGTATTTTCCAGATAATGGTATTAATTTCTCTAATGTTTATTGTAGCTTCAGCAGGTATGCACAGCCTCACACCGAATCGGCCTTTTCTTACTAGCGTCACCGTGCTGGGTATTCTCAGTGCCACTGTTGAACTCATTCTGGTGATGTGTGTCTGCAATCTCACTCATCTGGTGAAGCGAGGTGATGCTGCTCGACAGGAGATACAAAGCATTCACAGCTATCGATTAGAGCGACGAAGTCGCAGTCGCAGTCAGAGTCGAATGCGTTCCTTCTACACCATTTCCACTGATCGCATCTACCGCCCCAACATTTCTGCCACGCAGACTCCAGCCCACTCACGTCACGTTAGTCCTTCTGGCTCTTTCCAGGATCTTTCCATGATGACCGAATCGGCCAGTTACTACGTGCCACCTCCAATTTTCCTCAAGTTGGACAGATAACATGAAACTGCCTAATGCTGACTGCTGTTAGAATTTCCTGTGACCAATTTCCCTTTTTCCCCACAAGGTTTGACCATTCCTGCACTAACTACCCGTAACAGTTGGCTTACAATGTGCAATTTTGTTGTAGTTTACCCAAAGAAAGAGGCAACAACAACAAGAAATGTACGTGTGTAAATTGAGCAGACACACAGCAGTGCTTTTTATATCTGATCATTGACTCTTTTTTCTGCCTTTACTTTGAACTGACTTCAGTCAAATGGAAATTGAAGAGACCGGTTTGGTGACAAACAACACACGTAATATAAAAAATAAGTGCCATTTAACAGCGTTTCAATACTGTCAATGGTAATACGTATAATCAAACATTGAGTCAATAAAATTGTTTATATTGATGACTCGACATGGAAAAAATGAGTGAATAAAATAGGGTAAAAATAATCAAAATGGTTGAGATATAAGTTTGACTTTGAGAGTGACGAGAAGGAAAGAGGAGCTCCTATGTAGTTGCTCACTCACATCACCTCAGTTGGTGCCGTAGGTTTTGGCCAACTCATGGACCTTGGCAATGTACTTCTTCTGAGCGTCAGCCTTGCTCATGCCTAAAAGTTAAAAACGATTAAAAGTTGCTGCAAAGATAGCTGCATTATCAGCTCACCCTTCAGAGAGTTCCAGTGCTCCCACTTGGCTTTGCCCTTCAAGTCAAACATTCCTGGTTTAGCTGTGACAAAAGTGTATTGGTTAAAGAAACGTCATTTTTGCTGAAGCTTTAGTTCACATACGAATGTTGCAGTCGCCTTCAGTGCCTTGCTTGTACAGGCCATAAATCTCCAACAACTCTTGGTCAGTTGGACGAGTCTTTAGCTTCTTCACCAGTTCAGCGGCTTCTTCGAATTGCTGTAAAAAACCAAGTGTGTGAAAATTGCAAGTTGAGAAAAGATCNAGATTAAAAATTGCTGAAAAGATAGCTGCATTATCAGCTCACCCTTCAGAGAGTTCCAGTGCTCCCACTTGGCTTTGCCCTTCAAGTCGAACATTCCTGGTTTAGCTGTGACAAAAGTGTGTTGGTTAAAGAAACGTCGTTTTTGCTGAAGCTTTAGTTTACATACGAATGTTGCAGTCGCCCTCAGTGCCTTGCTTGTACAAGCCATAAATCTCCAACAACTCTTGATCAGTTGGACGAGTCTTTAGCTTCTTCACCAGTTCAGCGGCTTCTTCAAATTGCTGTAAAAAACCAAGTGTGTGAAAATTGCAAGTTGAGAAAAGATCACTCTGCGGTTGTTTAGCTACTTCACTTACTTTGTCAGTCATTTTTTGAAGTTTTGCTGTCAAGTAAAAGCAATCACAGAGGAGATGGAGTTAAAAATTGACAAGTGTGCTCTTTGGATGGCTTCTTCAAATTGGCAAGCAGTTGTGCGATTGAGAGAGCGTACAGACGACAAGTGAAAGCTCTGGGTGAAAGTCGACCGTCCTTTAACAGTGATTGCACTACTGGTGACGTGTGACGCGAATGGGCAGCGAAGCGAAACCAATAGTTCGAAAGGGGAAAGCATACGTATATAAATGTAAAAATACAATTTGCCAATTAGACAGACCGAATGTCTGGCAAATTTACACCGTTTGGGATTATTGGCCTACGTAATAGCGCAAGTGCAAGCTTGCCAGTGTAATGTATGCACCTGCTAGCAGTGGAAGAGATGCACCAAGGACAGCTGGGCGAAGCGTGATGATGCGGCCGGCAGAAGGGGCAGAGAGGTGCTCACAGAATGATAGCAAGCCAGCACTGATGATCTTCTCCGCCTCTCTGTCTGACTAGTCTTTTTGGCAAAACATCCAAGCAGTAATCAGCAATCACACCACTGGCACTGATTAGCATGCGTCATCCGAGAGAAGCACTGGCGAATCTGATTTACCACACTGGCCGACTTTAGCTGAGTGTCACATAGCGGTGATAGCTGAGGAGGGAAAAGATGTGAGTAACGTACGACAGTTCTGATTGAACTTGACTGTGTGAGTCAGTGGTGAAGACAGCTGTTTGGCATTTCAGTGTGAAATGAAAAGCAGAGGTTTAATTTTAAGACCAAACAGAGTTTTACTTGAATCGTTGACCAAGGTGTGAGCGGTGTCGTGTATCTGGCCAATTGAGGACACTTAGAAGAGCGGCAAAGAAGAGTCGTCCTGTTTACATGAGTCTCTTCTAGTGCCAACTTGATTAACTCATGCTCATGCACTTTCGCTCAATGATATAGCTCTTGCCTTTTCTCTTTCTCTTTTCTCCCTTCCAAAGCAGTGCCGACGCTGAAGTAAAAGGGCGCACAGGGTGAAGTGTTGGGATGGCTCAGACGCTCTTTGGCGCCATCAGATTGTTCCACGAACGGGGAAGATGGCGCAATAAACACTGCAGTGTGAACACCAATGTTATGCCTATTTGTTTCTTTTTGAACCCGAGGCTGCTTTGTTATTTCAAATCAGATAATTTAGAACGTTATATTAACAAAAACTTGGCCCCCCTTTTCTCTCAACTTTCATTCATTGTGGTTGTCATAGCACACAAACATTGTTTTGAACTTTGAACAGACGACAAAAATAGCTGAATTACGAGCAAACGGATCTGGTACTGCAGTCTGCAGCCAGTTAGCCCCCTTTCATTTGGTGACTAAAGATGGCGTTTAAAAACACTCTGGTTTTATATTTTTATCGGGTAAAACTTACTTCAAAAGAGAACTTTGCTGATTAATTTGTCAGTGAAAACAAGCTTTAAAACAAACATAACTAATTATAATTAAAAACCTTTGAATGTTTAAAGGGGATTTATTTTTATATTTGTTAATATAACAAAGCTGGTGATATTTTTAGCCCATACCTACAAATTAAAACAGCTAAAACAAACAAGAAAAAATTAAATAATTTTAAGTTTTTTAAAACTTATCAACTGTAAAAATTCTTTTTGACTGTAAAAATGATTTTGTCTAGTTCTTATAAATGACAAATATATTTTTAATTTAATTATGAATGATTTTTTACAAAACCACAAAAAAACAGTAAAAATTAACAATAGAAAAGCATTTGTAAAGCTAAGGTTGTTGCTGGTGAAAGTAGTTTGCTCAGTTTAGTAAAGGCGCAGCACTGCTCTTCTTGATCTCAAATGTATTTGTTTTTCCATGAGTTTAAAACTTGATACGACCATTACGCTTGAAATGCTACAGTTTGACAAAAGTTTAATTATTTTGTTTGTGTTCTGTGCTCTCTCACTTTCTTTCTCCTTCAGTGCTTCTGCACATTCAGTGATTTTATGCTGTTTTTGCCTTCACTGATCACAAACGCAATGACAACAAATGCAGAGAGTAAATAAAATCAAATTAAATAATTTTAGCTCAAGTCTTCACAGCCTTTGACAAGTGTCGTCTGGTGCACATGCACAGATAACTTTGTTTTGTTGCTGATGAACCATCATTCTCTGAAAGTTAGTACAGTTTGGCACAGTTATAAAACGAATGCATGTGAGATGAATCGACAAGTAGAATTATAACCCTTCGTTTTGTGTGATTACCAGTTGACCTTGGGGTAGTCTTATTTGAAATGGGTTTAACCCAAAAACAAATTGATTATCAAATCCATTCAATTATAGTTGACCATTTACTTTTTATTACTCTAAAAATTAATTTTGTAAAAGAAGTAACGTTTTTTATTTTTTAAATTCTTGCACATTCAACCCAAATGATTATTAGTTTTCTCAAATGATATTTTTTGATGTAATTACGTATAATCTTGTTTGTAATACTTTTTGCATATTTAAAAGATAAAATTAACTTTTGTAATGTTTTCACAAAACATTGATCTTAAAACTCAATGAATTCTGTAATTAGAAAAGTTTTGGTATAATCTTTTTCTNCTGTTTGTAATACTTTTTGCATATTTAAAAGATAAAATTAATTTTAGTAATGTTTTCACAAAACATTGATCTTAAAACTCAAAGAATTCTGTAATTAGAAAAGTTTTGGTATAATCTTTTTCTACTTAACTGTTTTCTATTTTGCAATTACCGAAATTACCATTTTCTTACAGGCAGATCCATTGCATTTCTATCATCAGCCTAGTAGTAATGCACTGTTTTGTAAATTGCTGTTACAATAGTAAATAGTTTTGTTTTCAACATGACAGTCATTCAATTGTTTTGATGTTTTAAAAACAAATACTTGTAACCTTTTTGATTTTGATTAACCACTCATTTTTACTTTAAATTTTTTTGAAATGTGAATTCAAATTTAATTTTGTACTCTAATGACGCAGTACTGTTTGCATTTGATAAAAGCTAAATTTGGATTTAGTGTTTGCATCAAGCATAACATAAAAATGTACAAACTTTGCACTTCTCAGAAATTTGAGTTCTAAAATCTAATGCAAAACATCCGATCAAATTGTTTGCTCCTTAGGGCATTTTAAAACAAAAGATGCACTTTGAAAAGTGTATTGTTTTTAAACTCCAATATGTTTCAGACGGGTGATTGATTGAAGTTCATCATTTTTGTAAAACTACAAAGTACACTTCAAATAAACGATTGTTACATGTTTATTAAATTTTGTTAAGAATTTATTAAGTTTTGTTGACTATTTAAAATAAAAAACTTAAAAAAAATTTAGTTTGTATTTTTATTTTATTTTAAGTTATATTTAAAAAACCTTACAATATTTTAAATTTGTTTTGTTTTACAAATGTTACGTATAGTTATTGTTATTAATTAAGTTAAGTTTTATTTTTTGTAAATTTAAAAAACATTTAAAAAATATGACATAAANCAAAAAACTTAAAAAAATTTAGTTTGTATTTTCATTTTATTTTAAGTTATATTTAAAAAACCTTACAATATTTTAAAATTGTTTTGTTTTACAAATGTTACGTATAGTTATTGTTATTAATTAAGTTAAGTTTTATTTTTTGTAAATTTAAAAAACATTTAAANTAAAAAACTTAAAAAAAATTTAGTTTGTATTTTTATTTTATTTTAAGTTATATTTAAAAAACCTTACAATATTTTAAATTTGTTTTGTTTTACAAATGTTACGTATAGTTATTGTTATTAATTAAGTTAAGTTTTATTTTTTGTAAATTTAAAAAACATTTAAAAAATATGACATAAAAATCACGTACTATTATATTTTTTGCTAAACTTTTTTATGTACTAAACTAATTTTTAATTACTTTCCTGTATTGCTTTTAAAAATTATGGTTTTATCTAGATTGCTTTTTTATCTGACACAAGTGTTGCTTTTTTGTTAAATTAGCTAACACATTATCTCTGGTTATATTCTCTCTTTCACTTTTTTGCCTTCTCTACACTCAATTTTTTTTTTCTCATTTTCATTCTTTACTACAAACTATTCTCTCAGCAGCGCATTCTCGTACACTTTGTCAGAGCAGCTATTCTCAAAACTGGTAGCCACGCGACTCTAGTTTGTTCCTTTTTAACCAGTGCCGTTCAAACAGCATCGTACAGAGGTTCTTTTCAATTTGATCTAACAAGTGATCGTGGGTGTTTTTTACGATTTTATCAAAATTTTTTTACTGAGAAAAATTTATGCTGCACATACATGTTTGTTAAAGTAATTGAATTTACAATTTTTTTAAATGTTTCAATAATTTTATTTGAATTTGATTTTCATCTATTGTTTTTATTAATATTAAAATCACAAGTTACAATTTTTAATAAACTAAAATATATATTGCTATTTTATTCAATACGTTGAACAAATTGAGAACACATGAAACTTTTTTTGTTACTACAAAATTGTCTATTTTTCAACACTAAATTTTAAAATATTGTGTTTAAAATTTTTATGTGTTTTTTGTGTTTTATGTAAACTTGTTTTTATAAAAACTCTTTAAAACAATTTTCCAAAACAAACTTCAAAATGGATTTCTGCGATAATGAAACTGTTATTGCCTACTTCCGGGTAAAAAACATGGAAGGAAAAGAAATGCAAATCCTTTTGTACAAAATATTTGTGCCCATTTTATTAGTAGGATGTCTTTTCAGCCTTATATTAAATTTAATTTTAGTTGCTGTTGGTTCAGCATCTCGGCAAACAATACGTTCACGATCTCCAATTTTGGTACTTTCACTGAATCTGGCAGCAACAGATTGTCTTGCGTCTTTTCTCATTGGCCTTAGTTTTGTAATTAACTCATTTTTACCAGTGGTTTTGCAAATCAACATTGAAAGTCCAATGAAATCTTGTTCTCTACTTATGCTCGAAGTCTTTCGACTTTCTTCTTTAATTGCATCAGCAACACATTTACTTGCTATGGCTTT